CACTATTTATTTCATCTCTATCAAACATAACATTAATAATGGACTAAAATTTTGTTAACTTATTATTGGCAAACCAAAATGGTAAGGAAACTCATGTATCAGTTATTTTTAAAACATAAAAAAATCATCAAAAATATTAACTTTTACTTTTAATAAGTTAATATATATATATATATATATATATATATATATATATATATATATATATATATATATAACTTGCTGTTGAATTTGAAATACCAAGTTGTTAGAAGGGGTCAGTCTCCTATATATGATTATAAATTAAAGACCACTTCAAAAAAGTTATGGCATACGATAATCTCAATTGAAATTCAAAATATTTTTCACCTTCGGCATTTTCAAAGGAATGGTCAGAGTAGGAAACTTGACATGAAGAAGATTCCTTAGCACTTTCCACACATACGTGGAGCCAATGTTACCAAAGGATTTGGCTTTATCGCCAATAAATTTCTAAATAATCAAACTCGTTATTAGTCACACCCACACACAAACTTTTATATGCATAAATAATTATATGTCGATTTAAATATTTTTTCCCTCTAATAACGATAAATTTATTTTTTATTCTTAAAATTTAAAATTAATTTTTCAGTCTTGTAATTTGAAAAAGAATTTTATTTTAAATTTTTTGTTCAAATTTTATTAATAAATATGTTAATTATTGTACAAAATTCATTACTAGTATCTTGTTAATGAATACATCACATTAAGTCCAATTAATATTATCTCAATCTATTATTATCAACAATATTATTAATAGCTTAAGAGATCAAAATAAACTTTTTTTTCCCTAAAATTACAGGAACTAGAAAAATCAATTATAAATTTAAAAAATAAAAAATAAATTTACTTTAAATTTAGAATATTAAAAATATATTTAAGTCTTTATAAGTATACACTCAACTTTTATTTTATTTCATTATCTTATTTTTTTCTACATTTTACTATTTCATCACATTACTTTTCCTTTTTCTTCCCTCTCTTCACTTTATTTACATACACCCCATTTGGAGTTTACATTTATAAGAACCCTAATTGTATTCCATTTGTGAATTTCCTTCAAGCTAACATTGCGTTTTCCTCGCTAGGCCATGCAAGAGACCTACCGCATTATGCCATTTTTTTAGTTATTAATATGCATTCGAAGGTCCAAACAAATACACATATTTACAATTTAAATGTTGTTTTAGATAAGAATATGTTGCTACCTAACAACTTAACACTATTAACCAACAAATTCAGTATAATCAATAAATAATTGAGATTCTTACGCATTCTAATTGGGTTTTTTTTAATGCATACAAAAAAAAAATCTCAACATTACTACCCATCGTGTTCTATCTCTAGCTAGGACTTAGTTCATTATTGTTGTAGTCAATCATAAGTAGGGACGATGGTTGTTCTTTGTTCGACAGCTATATATGAAATGATTTCGAAATATGGTTTTTAATGATTCAGTAATGTTGTGCTGATTTTTCTCCTTTGCTTCCAAATAAAGTGTATTCAATTCAAATTAGATGCTTAATTAGATTGTGTTGACTGTCATACATATCCCCATATGATCAAGTAATCACATTCTGTTATTTCGAGGTGACATCACCTTTATGAAATTGGACTCATCTGTGCTATGATCCCAAAATCGATTTTGTTTTAAACATGCAGTGAATGCCTTTTCTTCTTTTTGGTATTTGGCTTCTAAGTAAAGATAGTTATTCGTATAATACTTTGCAAGTCGCTAAACAAACAAAGGAAAAGAGAGAGAGAGAGAGATAAAATGCATTATCCCTATAAAATAATTTTATACTATTATTGAATTACAAATTATCATTTAAGTAAATTTATTAATTTTTATAAAGTTATCTTAAAATTTATATATATAATAACATTTTTATTAGTAAACAGTATAAAATTTACTTTGATAGTACATAATAATTAAACCCTATAATTAATACTGTAATATCCTTAATTTATTTTAATCATGATAAGATAATCATAAAATTTACACTCAACTACTCCTTAATCAAAAATCAAAATTCAATCTTTAAGTTAGTCTTAAAGTCACAATTGAAAGTATCAATTTATTTTATAAAAATTAATCCAATAAAAAGAAGTTATACTAACTATATATATGACAATTAAATCATATAATTAATACTCTAATATCCTTAACTTGTTTAAAACATTTAATGAATTGCACGAACCCACAACCACATATACACCTTTAATTTTCCTTGGCCTATAAGGAGGGAATAATCATTTAGCGGGGGAAGGGGAAACTTGGTGGCATGTTCTATGGTTGAGGAGTGCTTGCTCTTTTTCTTTCTTGATTTGTGTCTTTATTTGATAGAATTCCTGTTGAACAAAATATCTTATCATCTTGAATCAGACATTGAAGTGATGGAACGCCTACCTTAGTTTCAGGAAAATGATTAACCGATAAGTGTGGATCGATGCCATAAAAGCATGAAACACCAATGTCTCTATCTCAACCTCTAATCATAACGCTCAAAACATGTTTCTTAAATGACTAATTTGAAGA